TTTCTCACTCGCTTTGGACACTCGAGCCCCCTCATGTTGCCACGTCTTAACTCAAAACCGTGAATGGGTAAATACCAGTTTCTTACTTTTAATCAAAATAAAAATAAAAAATTGAAAGCTAGTCTGTCTCTTCTTCCTTCATCGTTCGCTCTAAAGCTCTAGCTTCTAGAGCCTTCCGATGGGTTCTTTTGCCTATTGTTCCAACATCTTAATCCGATCTTGTTTTTTTTGGCGAATTTCTTGCCCTTTGTCTTTCATTCCTCACCTTTTTTTTTTCTACAAGCCCTTTGATTTGGTGATTGCTTTGTTTCTTTTGTCTTCTCTATCCTCTTCCCTTCTTTCTTTCTCTCTCTTTCAATTGCAATGCCCTTCCTCCAGTGTTCCTGTGAGTAAATTCCTTTCACCCGACGCAAATCGAATCAGAGTTTCCTTTGTTTGCCAACTTATTCTTAAACTTTTGTGCTTGTTGTCTTGTTCTCTACTACAAACCAGATCTATCTTGTGGTCATCTTCTATGACGTTAGTTTCTACAATCTACAGAAAGTGGAATGGAAATCTCATTAACTGACTTTTGCCTTCTACCCTGTTCTGGAACATTATTTTTTGTTGGATTAATTCACAGATTCCTTCGCACACCTCCAACCAAAATTTTATTAATTTAAAAAAAAAAAAAATCAATTCAGAGGCAGAGTTAGTTTAAAAATTCCATGTCTATAAATCAAACTAAAATAACTTAAATTTTCAAACAACAATATCAAATTGATAGAAGAATCAACCCAAAATTTGACATTTTTTCTTCCCACTGGACTTGTTAATATGAAAAAAAAAAAGAAAAAGGGCAAAGAGAACATTGTGGCGAAACAATCGAAACCTTTGAGAGTGATGAGATTAACACGTCGAACACCCATTTCTCTTTGTAGCCTTCTTAAGGGTCACGGGTCACTAATTTGCTGAGCATCAATAATCTTGGAGTCACCAGAAGAAAAGATGAGTTGACAAAAAGAGGAAAAAAAAAAAAAAACTAAAATAAATGAAAGGCAATTTTTTACATTGGAACAGAAACCGTTTGTAAAGGTTGCCGGTGACAATAACGTGGCAGCATGTAGGACTCAAGTGCCCAAAACGAGTGACAAAGCAGGTGCCCTTAGCATTGCTCTAGTTTACCATCAAATAATTTACTGAGATTAAGGATCTAATTAACTTAATGATCATCTCTTTTAAATAAAATTAAAAAATTTTGAATTCTAATCACATGACATGCGGATAAAGTGAGATAAGAGATAAAAGATAATTTCATCTCATTATACAACTAAAAAAAAAATAATAATAATAATAATAATAATTTACTGCCGAATTTGAGGAAATACATCTTAGCACAAACAATTAGCACGTGAATTTTTTTATCGAAAAATTATGAAACATTTTATTAGAATGAAGTATTACATGAACACTAGGAGTACAATCAAATCAGGCAGAGAAAAGTGAAGAAAAAAAAATTAGGCGTAAAGCACTTACGTCAAGTGACCAGTGCCAATTTGAAGTTGCTGCCATGAGATGATAACAGATGTGAAGGAAGGAACTAAACTTAGCTCCTTCCCAACTTATTTCATACAGCCTTAGCATGGCGGCATATCGGGTGGTTGGGAGGTAATAATTTGGCCTCTGGACATTCTCCTTTTTTAACTATTAATACTATGTCCATTCCCCATACCATACGCCTGTTTGAAAACCGAATTGGTTAAATAAAAAAAGTTAAATGCTAATTTCGGTCCTTAAACTTTAAGGATTTATATAATTTTCATCTCTCAACTATTTTATATATTTCTTTATTTTTTAATTATGAAAATGTATTTTTTTAATTCTTTCATTAGTTAATCTATTAAGTTTATCTTAATACGCATAAATGTGCATATGTACATGTATTATAAGTTGAAAGACTAAAAATTTACAAATTCAGATAGATTTAATGAATTAACTGATAAAATGACTAAAAAATATAAAAAAAAAGTTGAGGAATGAAAATTATGCAAAACTTTAAAATTGAGGGATGAAAATTAGCATTTAACCAAATAATAATAATAATATGACACATATGTATGATAAAAATGAGGTGACATACCAAGATTGTCAGCTCTGAATCTAATTGCGGTCCAGCCACTTTTAGGAACAGCAATAGTGTTTTGATGATGGAAATAATTAAAGATATATATATGAAGCTGATTAGTGAATCATAATAAATTTGATCGTAATATAAGATTTAAGAGGGAGGGGAAGTAATTTTGACAATGCGAATGGAATAATTGCGCTCTTTATTGGCAAAATGAAACAAGATTTATTGAAAACAAGATTTATTGAAAACAAGAGTACAACACTTAAATTAAGCTCAAGATACAATAGAAGATATATAGAAGAATAGGAGCATTAACAAAGAAAGGCCAACCCAAAAATCACAAAGAAATAGAAATCTACTCAAGGTGGCTTCAGTTTCTTAATTAGAGAACATGACACGCACAAGGCACCCCAGCAAGCAATTCATGCAAAAAAAGGATCAATAACAGGAAACCAAGCAAAGGTGGAGTGAAGAAATTACTTGTAGACTTACAAATAACTTTGAGCTTGTCCATCTATTGGCAAATGAGGGCTCATGTTGGCATTGATTTTCATTTTCAATGCTGTAAAATGGTTGTAGTTTGTCCCTTAGGGATGAAGATGTGGTTTAAGAACTTATGTTTTTATATCAAAAATTTTTAATTCAAATTAATCTTTGAATGGGTGGAGAGCAGTTTAGAAGAGAAAGACATATTACCTATCATTTGCATACAAGCTAGAATTTTTTTTTTTTTTTTTAAAAGGTTGTGGTCTAAATTCATTTGATTGCTTTTCGTTTGCTATTTAATCCAAATTCGATTTGTGTACTTGAAAACTTGCCTGCCTTTAACACTTCAATATTGTGCCTATACATGGCCTCCGCCTCCCCAAATTGTTAAAAAAAAAAGTGTTTTGGGGTGTTGGCTTGTAGCAAACCAGTCCCTAAACTTTCAAATAGCAATATATAAATCCTCCCAAACTTAATGGAAAACGTCGGTCAACATTTAATTTATGTGAAGAGACACGATGGATTAACTTATGTTTTCATCTCTTTAATTAAAATAGAACAAACGTTGTTTTGTGTTTCTATTTTATTTTCTTTGGTTCTTCGTTTCAATGTTGCCTAGCACTCTACAAACAAAAATGATTAATTACTAAATCTCACATGCTTTTATTTTACGTGACAAGGTTGCTTTAGTAGCGGCTTCCAGCCAATTATTAAAAAGTGAAGGAATCTTTCTTGAAGAGTCTATCCTACGTCTATATTTGACTTGGGTTTGTTTTTGTTGGCATGTTCAAATAGTCACGTACGTTTTTACGTTAGGGAATCCAATTGGAGAACTCTTACTGTTAAAAAAAAATGCAGCTCCGCTGTTCCATTCTTAATTCTTAATCTCCACAAACTGCATTTTGCAAGCTCTTACTCTAATTGGGAAACATAGGCAGGCTTCACATGCTCCTGGAAAAAACTGTCAGAATAGTGCATCCCTCTTCCTTTGAGGCAGCGTGAAACAAGAAGCAGACAAGCCTAAATTACATCTAGAATTAAAACATGTTCTGATGTCCAGTAAACTCTTTCAAAGAAATATTATTATTACCAAAGATCAACTCTGGCTCTACGCACGGCTGCTAATTTTTGGGAGGTTCACATGTGGTTGTTGTGAAGTCCCACATCCGAATGTCAGAACGAGAATATGCTTAGGGAGGTAGCTTGAGTAAACTTTTAGGGGTTTAAAAAAATTTAAGGGTGTAAGTTTTAAAAGATAAAATTTTGAGGGACCAAATAATAAAAAAACCTAATGATAAACATAGATTTTGAAAATTTTTGGGGAAGCCGTGGCCCCTCGTCAGCTTATACCATCCTCCATCCTTAAATATGTTGAATATATATATGTGAAAATCCATAAACTTAATAATTAGAGCTTTTAAAGTGAATATTGCATTGCAAATTATTTCGAAAATGAGTATTATTGTTTTGCGGAATTCAAAGAATATATTGTTGGGAAGTACAATCTCACATGTCAAGATCATATAATGAGAAAATGGTATAAGACAGACTGTTTTCTAACAAATTTTTTTGAGCACTTGTTTAATAATTTATTTTTAATTAATGTTTTAAAAAATTAATCATTAGATTAAAAATTGAATTCATATAAATTATATATATAAGTTTTTATATAGATTTAATACTTATAATTCTTGATTAAAAAAATTTTATTTATTGATATATATTTAACGATATTAAATTTTTTATAATCAATAAAATAAATAGATTTATTAAAAAAATTTAAAAATTAACAAACATGATTTATATGAATATAACTTTTAATTTAATGGATAATCTTTGAAAATATTAATTAAAAATAAAATTTTAAACAGGTTCTATAAAAAAATAATTTATAAAAAACTTTTTTCATATAATAAATACATACATATGAAAACTTATAAATTTATTAAGATAATATTTTGAGTTCAATAGAAGCATATATTTTAAGGCTGCATCAAAAGCGATATGTTGTATTGAGGTTTATTTATGCGCTCCGTCGGTTCGATCCTCAACACTAGTAGCGAGCATTTTTAGCATACGATTTAAAGAATTTGAGTCACGAACCAAAATCTAGATTTGACCAAGGCTTACTTGGTTGGTGAGGAGGGAATATATATATACATAGAAGAACGAATTCCCCCACCATAGACATTTAAGAAAAACAAAAAAA